TGTCATGGTTTTATTTCTGGCTGTACACCGCCCTGAGTCCTTCGGGAGAAGGGCGGTATAGAAATTTAATAAAATAAAATAAAAATAAAATAAATATTACATTGAGCAAGGGGAATGACTGGGTGATCTCTACTTTAAATTCTATGATTCCACAAAATTGATTTCTTAAGTTTTGAAATTATATGTAAGGACTATAATATAATGTTCATAAATATATGTGTTTCTTTCCTTTTTCAGGCAAGCGTCCAAAGAAAGGAATGGCAACTGCCAAACAACGGCTCGGGAAAATTCTAAAACTGAACCGAAATGGTCATGTACGATATTTAGTTTGATGTAGTAGCTGCTTCTGCTCTTCTTCACACATAGACCAGTATTGAGGGTAACAGTGCCTGGAGCTTCTGTTTTATTCCTCTGCTTGAAGCAGAATGCATGTATCTTATTTGAACATTGCCTGATGAACAAAAACCCAATGCTGCATTTTCACTGTGCCACATCTGCTGAGCAATAACTTTTGGGAAATGAAAATATTTGAAAAGACGATGAATCGGAAAATGGTCTGTTTTTCAGGGCTCATTTTGATGCTTTGGTAGTGTCTGAGCTAATTCATGAACAGAAGAGTGTGATGAAAGTGGTAATCAATAATTTATTTGTCAGATATTGTCAAGGATTGAATTCATTTTAAGCTATTTATTTGGAAACCTTTTGGGGGGAATTATTTTAATTTTAAAATGTCAAAATGTGAAGGTTTTATTTGTCTTTAATGTCTGTCTGCAAGTGGAGAGAGCTGCATTGTTTGTTCTGAATGCAAGCATTTGATATAGAGATAATAGATTTAAAACATGGATGTGATATATTATATGATTTATTAAGTTAAGGGCAAGAAATCATACCTTAGATTCTGTTCTTTCTATCCAATATCATGGATGGCTTTTTTACTGACTCCTAAAGTACAAAGTCTCTGGTAGTTTAGTTCATTGAAATGTCTTCCTTCATTACTTCCATTTCATCTTCCTGTTTCACCATTTATTCTGGATTATAAATTAGCATAATGCAAGCAACATTTGCTTTATCCCTTCCCCTTATTTTATTTCCATGGTGTGGAGAATAATCCATAGCCGTCACCCATGTAGGACTACAGGTATTGATTTTAAGTATAGGCATTTAAATACATTTTGTGAAGAAAGACTGTTATAGTGGCAAAGTATTGTTTGGTTGTCTACACATGCCAGCTGATTAAGGTCTTAAGTCATTTTTGTAAATATGTAAATATGTTTGATAGCTTTTGAAGTTTAGTATGACATACTTTATGTCATGCTTGGCAAAGATCTGGTAGTAAATGCTGATTCTAAAATGCATGTATATAACCTAGATGAAAAATAATATTTTTGTAAGATAAAGTTGAATATTTAAGCTCTTTTGGGGAAAAATGGGAAAGCATCTCACTACCGCTTTACTAAGAGGGCTATACAGTACCAGAGCAGGAATATTAGGGATACTGCTTTAGTAGTTTGGTTTTCTTATTGATCAAGAGTTAAAGCATGGCCAAAGCTACTCAGTTGCTTGACTTTCTTAAATAAACTTCCCAGCCTTCTGGGCCTATCTAAAATAACATACCTAGATGTCCCGAAATAGGACCTTTCTGTGCTCTACAGTTTTATACTCAGTATTTTCTGCATTTGTGTGCAACATATCTGAATTAAACTAATTATATTTTTGTTGCATATCAACCTAGTCACTGCAGGTACTAGGACTTAGCTAAAGTTCAAGGTTGTAGTCCTCAGTGACATTGCCACTGTCCCATTTAAATGAATAGATTGTTTCTATAACTGTGAGGGAGTGATAGCCAAAAATTTAAGCTAATATTCCTAGAATGAAATCTGAAGAAGTATTTTTTTTCATTAAGGAAAAGTAGGCTGATTCTCTATCCCACATGCAACAGATCCCTTTCAAATCATTTTGGAGGGCTGAGGGTAATTTCTAAAACAGATGGGGAAATTAGAAAGGTTGCATGAGTGCATTGCATTTGTGTAATAATGGATTTCACTTTCCATTAGGAAGTAAGCCCTGTCACAATAAATAAAAGAGTTTTAAGAATACATTGAATGAAACTGAAGAATAAAGGAACAAAAATCAAACAGATACAAACCTGTGATATATCTGAGGTTTTGAAAATAAGTTTGTTTTTCTTGACCTTCCTTCCTTCTTCAATTTTCTTAGCATACAAATGTCAAATGTAGGGAAAAAAATAAAACTGGAAGAACCTCTTGACTGCTGGCATTGCCAGGACAATTGATTACAGGGTGAAAACTCAACATTGGTTTTTGGAAAAAGAAGAGATTTACTTACCAGTTTTAACTCATTTTTTATCATAATAAAAAAAATGAGAGTTTCAAGAATCATATCTTCTAACTGGGCTATGGTACATTAAAATATGTGCTTGTACTGTGTATTTTCCATGTGTTTTAAACTTTATTCTGTCTTTTCTTTTAGGCAGAAAAACTGTTAGAAAGAACCTGGTTTTAATTTAGTTCTAATTTTCATAAGCCATATTTTTTAAGCAGTTTATTTCTTGTGATATTCTAGCATCATCTGTTATGTGAAAAATATTGAGGCTACAATTAACTGAATGATAAATACATTAAAATTATATATTCTTTATTGATCAGAATAACTGATAAGTGTCACAACTGGTCTGATTTCTCTGAGAACCATAATCATTAAAATGCATACCTGCAGAAAAGAGGTAGTGAGGGAGAGAAGGAGTAGGTTTTGGATAGACTATATTTCTATTCCATTTTTCTCATTTTCTTCCCAGATGCCTATCCCCAACAGTTGTTCTCTGTTGTTATGAGCATAGAGATATAGTTTCTTAGATTACTAAAATAAAAATTCTGATTATAAAATTCTGGATTTTCATGTTTCAAACACAATTTGAAGCAAATCTTCTGTTACCACCTCAGTTAGGCTATTTCTTAGATTTTAAATGTTTTGAGGAAAGCAAAGTTAAATATCTCTTATCAAAATTAATGGTTTTGATGAAGCAAATATTTTAGTAATACAGTGATATTACAGTGGGCAATCTTGTTTGTTATTCTAGTTGCTTCATTTATACAAATCACCATTGCTCCAGATTTTACACTTGTAGCAGATGTCTGAATTTAATTATTTAGCCCCCTACTTGTTTTATTTACTTGAGGGCAAAAAGGATATTTAAGCCAAATTTGGTATAGGTTTGCTCTATCCTCAGTAGATTCTGTATTCAGAGAAAGATTTTTTTAAATAAGTAGGCAAGTATTTCAGCTATAGGTTAGAATTACTTTAGACCTCTTCCTCTCTAAACCAGTAGGGTAAAATAAAGTGTTTTGGATTATGTTGAAGACAGAAGGAAAACAGAATTTTAGAGCAGCAATTTTAGCAGCATCATTCTAAGCCACATTTCTCATTGTTCCATAGTCTTTGCTTACTGAATTCAGGCTGCAGTGTAGCTTCAAATGATCTCTGGTAGATTTACCTATGCAATCATTGTAATTGAGGTACACATTTCAAATAATTTTGATAGGATTGAATAACACAGTCAAAGTTAAAATACTTAACATTAATGTTCAGTGTAACAACATATGTCATAATCAAATTAAAGATACATTATTTCACTGAAGTTTTTTATATACTTCAGGTTACTTTGATTCACCAGAATTTCCATTATTAAACTTAGGGATATTAGGATGGAAAGCAACTCCAGTCTTTCTTCCAGATTTTGCCAGCTTTATAGCTGGTAACTGGAAGGAAATTGAGAGGCATTACTTTCTACACAATTCCTTGCATAGTGCCTCTTTGATCACAATTTCTGTGCCGCAATAAACAAACAGAAACACCTCTCCCCTTTCACTTTTTTATACTAACATGCATTCATGCTTCCAGACCATAAAAATCTGTTCATTGACTTAAGCAGGTAAACCCAGGGCAATTTTATTTTGTGAAAGAAATGTAAATTGAATTTAAAGGCCTTACACTTTGTAGTTTAAACTGGATTAAGAGCTGCAGCTCCATTTTTTCCCCAAAAGAGCAAAGTTCTGTATACAATAAAACGACTGTATTGTGCAGAACAGGATGGTAATGAGATTAGCACTGATTACAAAATGCAGCTGCTGATAAAGCTGCATTTTGCCTGGAAGAAAACTTTGAATATAAATTTTAAGCCATAATAGTTTCTTGCTGTAAGAAGGGAATGAAATAATTCACTTTTAAGAGATTATATTAATAGGAATTATCACTTCTGCTGGGAAAAGTTTAACTTTGCCAGTGCTTTGGCATTTTTAAGATATTCATTACATTTGCAAAAAGGGGATAAGTCTTGGCTATATTTGCTAGTTTTGTAGTAGTGTTTTGCTGATGTGTCTGTTTCCCAATACCTTTTTCTACTGTCAATCTAAATTCTCAATTTTTTCAGTGTGGTGAAATAGCTGTCTTTCTGAATAGAGATTGTGTGTTCTTTGCTCCTTTTTATACAAACACACTCCTATGTGGAGTTTTTGGTTGGAAAATGGAAGGCTGCAGCTTTAAGAGCGCCCCCCCCCCCCATTTATTCAAGTTTCCCATTCCATTTTTGCCTGCAGGCAGGAAAAGTGTATGTACAGTATTTATTTTGTTTCAATTTTATTTTAAAATTTGTTTTTATAGGTAGTTTACTGATTTACTGTTTGGAAGGACAAGTGGTTTGTTTAAATTTGTATTTGACCATAGGTTTCACTTTCTGTACTTTATAATATGGAAATTAAAATCTGTATTGCTTATGTTTTTGATCTTTGCATTCAAGTGTTTAATTTCTTTTTTGATTGCTTACTCAGATAAAGATAAAAGTATTGCTTAATTCCATCTCTTCTATTTCTGCAACTTTTGTTTTGGTGATTTTACCATTTCTCATTTTCAGCAAAGCTTGAAATCAGACTATATCCCCAAAATAATAGTAGTTATAATTATTTCAAAAATGGTGGATAAGCAGCTTCACCTTTATTCGCTTAATTTATTAGCACATAAACTAACAATAACTTGCTTAAACATATAAGAAGGAGGTCTTGAAAGTCATAACATCTGAAAACTGATTTGCCACAAATGTGGCAAACAATTGGACAATTGTATCAATAAAAATTCTAAAACTGTTTTTTCTTTTCTCAGCTTGTTAAATTCAGTTACTGTTCATAGACTATATACTGTGGTAGATGGATATTTGGTCCTGCAAACATTTACTAGCAAAAAAGATGAAAGTTTAGATTTTAGTGAACATAACTAAACAAGCATACATAACTAGTAATATGACTATATGTTCTAGTGCAGGAGTCCCCAACCCCTGGTCCGCGGCATGCCAGAAACCAAGCCGTGCAAACAAAGCCCCATTGGCAGGATGTAGGCAACATGCAAAACCACGCGCCCTCCGGTCCATGGAAAAAACTCTCTCCACGGAACTGGGCCCAGGAGCTCAAAAGGTTGGGAGCCACTGCTCTAGTGTTCAAAAGTTGTGCAGTTTCACTACTCAACAGTTGTGCAGTTTCTCTTTCTGTTAGGCCATGATAGCATACTCCCAACTATATTTCTTAAGATACAGATTTTACATACGGTACAAGCACCTTGTTTGCTTTGGTTGTTTTCTTTAAATATGACTCTGGCTAGTGCTTCAGCACTCTTTTAGGCTTAGAAGCAATTATTTGCAATGAATGCACAGTTATAATGTATTATTGTCAAGGAATTAAAAAATCTGATTACATCTGTTACAAAAATTACTTACAAGCATACTTTTAAAGAAACGAACAGAACAAACGTTAAAACAAATCATTGCAACACTTGCCCTAAATGTTTAGGGTCATATGTGTAAAATATTTACTTGGGCTATGTCTCTGTAGCAGCATTGTGCAGATCATTTCAAGATTTAAATTGCCAGATATCGGAAACATCTGACTCATCAGAAGTATTCCAATCTTAGCAAAATGTTCTGGCTCTGAAAATGGTAAGCAGAACAGCCTATACTGAAATCAGTTTTTTGTTGGGTTTTTTTTTTTTTTTTGGTAGAGCCAGGGCAGGCTGTTCCAATGGCAGATGATTTCTGATAAGATTAGGAATGGTTTTGAGGCTGGACTATTTTGGATGTGGAAATTTGAACCTTGAAACATTTTCAATCGCTATCATTTATGAACTGAATTTTTGTTGTTTTAACTAATTATTACTATACTTTTGTACAATGTTGAACATTTTTAGGGCGAGCAATCTCACATTTCCTATGACAATAGATTCCTTATTGTGGTCATAAGGAAGTGATGCATTGGACAAGAATATTATGGTTACTGTATATACTGAACTAAGACTTGCTTAAGGTTCTGCAGATATTGCTGTTGGGTTTTTCATAAAGAGTTTTGATTTATTTTTATTCCTTATACACTGCTTGTTCAAGCTTCTGGGTGGAAGATCAGTCTTATATCTTTAAAAGACAAAATGAAACAAGGGGTAACTCATGGAAAGGGATTCTCACATATTGTATCACTTGCCGCTTGCTTTAAAATGGCTTGGAGGCATGTTCCTTACAGTAGTAGTGTGAGGAGTTTGCGGGTTCCTTGCAGTCTAAATACTGTTTTCCTTACTCCAATACACAACTCCTTCAATGCATCTGGACTTCCTGAAGAGTCACCTTCATCAGGATTTGTAGCTTCACTGTCATAGAGTCTAAATAGTTCCAAAGAGGAAATAATAAAAGATTTCCTTTGAGAGAATTATCGTTTGATGTCCTTCAATTAAAAAAGAATAATTAGATTGCTTCAAATATTGGCTTGGTGGCATCTTCTCATGCTAGCACGTTTTATTAAAAGACATACATTTTTATGAGCTACAGCTCTCTTGAACCATATATTTCCTTGTGAAATCATTCCTATTTTGTTTGATACTATCTTTTTGCAATTAAATTTTAATGCAATTAACTGCTTATGGCTTATTTGAATTTCAGCAACACAATATTCATGCATAGGCGTGATGGTGAAGAGGTTCTGAAAAAAGTTCACCTAAGAATTTTTTTACGTTTTTTGCTGAACATATTCTTTGTTTTCTCTAGAACTATATAGACTAAATATTAATAAGAAGTTATTTCTATTGCGTATATATTCAGTAGTTCTAGACCAGGGGTGTCAAACTCAAGACATGCGGACTGGATTCGGCCTGTGGGGTGCTTAGATCCGGCCCATGGGACCAGCCTGAAAATAGCAAAGGACTGGCCTGCGGTGCCTCTGCTAGTGGAAACAGGCTGCAGGGGGCCACAGGTAGCCCCCGCACAGCCCGTTTTGGGCCTGGACAGCCTCCTGCAACATCCTGCTGGCCAAAAGGCGCAGGGGAGTGCAGGCAGTTTGCCTGGCAGGGTGCTGCATGTGGGCGTCCATATCATCTCCTCCCCGCCCCCCGGCCTGCGAAGGACAACTACAATGCTGATACAACCCTCCAAGAAATCCAGTTTGACACCCCTATTTCTAAAGAGAAATCCATATCTTATTTTTCTTCATGCCTTGACTGCAAGCACTAGCATAATAATGAATATGGTGTCAGCGTTAGTGTTGAAATTTTCAATAAGAATTTTTATCTGTTATAATCAATGCTGTACTCAATGGCATAATTACAACTGAAACACAAAAGCACCTGTCTGGTCAACAAATGACAAAAATGTAGCAACCACTTTAGTGTTGCACTAAACTTCTAGCCTACTTCTTTACCCTGGATGATCTCTGAATGTTTGTTGGTCTGTATCAGAGATGGGGAATGATGGCTCTTTTATGACTTGTAGATTTCAACTCCCAAGAATTCCTGAGCTAATCATGCTAGCTCAGGAATTCTGGGAGTTGAAGTCCACAAGTCATAAAGGGGCCATCATTCCCCACCCGTGGTCTATATGATCCTTAGGTAACAAAGACTAGTGAAACTTTGCTTAGCTTCACAAGTTAGCTCGTCTGTCTTGGGGTGGGTGGGTTATTGCTACATCTATTGCTCATTTTGCTACTGGTGGAGTGACAGGCAAATAAGATAAATATTTAGTAAAAAGCCCCATTTCCCCAAAGATTTTTTAATATGCTAAGCAATATAGATTTAGCATATCTATTTCTTCTGGCTTTTGCTGTTTCACATGTTTATTTATTTATAATTCATTTTTCTAGATTGCCCATCTCCCTTAAAGAGGGTCTCTCTGCTGTGTTACAATGAATATAATTGATAAATAAAACAATGTATAAAAATTAACATTACAATTTAATGTTTAACAATTTAGGATTAAAAATTTTGGTAATTATATAGTAATGACAAACACCAAATGTAAATATCCTAAGATTTAACATTGGTTATTAGAAGGGGGAGGGATGCTCTCATGGGACTAGTCAGCCACACAGTTGAATAGTCCTCTGTGCCCCTCCCCCAGAAGGATTCAGAGCCAAAATCTGATCCCTTTGCAGAAGGCCAAGAGATTGGGGGCTTTCCTCACCTCTGCGGGCAGGTTGTTCCACAATGTGGGCAGCGGCAGAAAAGGCGCTCTTCATTAGATCGCGCCAGTCAAAAATATTTGACTGATGGGGTCTATAGCATACTTTCCCTTCTTGATGGATTGAGACTGGCTGATGAGATAGGATGAAGCCTGTTCTGTAGGTAACCTGACCCTATGCCCCTTCCTTTATACTGCCCAAGTAGTGGCAAAGTAAAGTGCAAAGAAGCACATGGACAGAATGGTATGAAGCAGGGAGGTAAAAGCTACACAATGAAGTAGCCAGAGTAGGAGCATATGATCTGCTACCTCCCCAATATAGTAGTATTCCTGACTATACTTACTGAACTTTGATGTACAACAGCCTGGTATTCTAGTTTTCTGAACCACCAGATAATAGACGGGTAAGCCAGATAAAGTTAAAGCACATCCAATACTGGTGTTCACAGGATCTGAATATAGTGATGTCCCCACAATGAAGAAACAGGCTACTGTGAATACCAGTGGGAAGAACAGAGGCACCTAAAGGAACGAGTCAGAAGGTAATCAACAGGCCATCTTTAAACATGCAAGCAACTATAAAGTTTACAACATGAGGAAGAACAATCAAAACATATTTATATAATTCTGCCAATCAAACGATCAATAAATTATTCATATGCTATGCAGGATTTTTTTGTGTGTGTGGTTTTATGAATCCTTGATTTACTTTTGGTATGATTTCCAGAGAACATGGGAATTCAAATGAGAACATAAATGGATGTTTCTGTTGACAATGCACAATTACAATATGTAATTATGATCGTTATATTTAATCCTGATTAAATATTAATCACAAATGTATATTCTACTGTTAAAAATCAATTGTAAACTAGAATGATGGAACTTTATGTTTTAAATATTTCATTAGCAAACTACAGTCAAGATTTAGGGATCTCTGCTTCTTAGCTTCAATCCAGAAAGAAAGGAAAGGATAAATAATTATGAATGAATGAGGATGGTCATGAATATAAATAAAGATACAACACTGAATTATTAGAAAGAGTGCTGGACATGAAACAATTTGTTTGCAATATGTCTTAACTTAATCAGTGTTTTATTTTTCTTCCTATGTCTTCCTATGTTCCTATATTAATGTCTTTCTTCCAGAAAAGTAGAAGCACAACTCTGGTTTCTAATTCAATATTGAACCTACCTTAAAAGGTCTTAGTATTGTTGGATGTCGAAAGCAATGTATCATGAACCCCAGTGTGGTAAGTCCTATGAAGAACCAGCGGGAGAAGCTATAGAAGTTCAAAAGTCCATAAAGGTCACCAATGGACACCATCAAGTAGACCAAAGGTAACTGGGTCAAGAAAGAAAACCAACAGGACATACAAACATTTATTTTTGGTCCTTTTACCCAACAAAATGGAACAGTAGCAACAATTTTCTTTCAATACAGATATTTAGATCTGATTATACCCTGTTTCCCCGAAAAAAACACATTCCCTAATAATAAACCCAATCAGGCTTTTGAGCACATGCGCTAAAGTAACCCCCCCCCGAAAATAAGCCCTCCCTGAAAATATTTAAACATTTAAATATTTAAACGCATGTGCAGCCAGTCCCCCCATTTCCTCTGGTTAGGGTCAGGGAGACAGAGCTGGAAATCAAGTAAGATAGCAAGAGGAGTCTTGCTCTATGCGCCCCAAAATAATAAGACTTCCCTGAAAATAAGGCCAAGCGCTTATTTCGGGGTTCCAAAAAATATAAGACAGGGTCTTATTTTCAGGGAAATATGGTAGGTCAGGTCAGAAAAACCAACTTAGTTTGGATTACTTGGTAAGCACAAATTTTAAGTTGAATTATCTAAGTGATGAGAATGTTAATTATGAGAACCCGTACCAAATGTTAGCTGAACGGCGCTTTTTTTGTGGGGGGGGATTGTTTAGAAAAATGAAACATCTGTGATCATAACATAGGATTCTGCTAAAAAAAGGATATATGTAGACTTTGTTCCTTCATTTAAGAACAGGAAGGTAGAAATCTGAAATTTAAGCTCATACCATTAATATCAAAGCTGGGACAGGAGTATGTCGTTCCAGGTGTATCATTGAAAAGAGAGCTGGCCACTGTCCTTCTCGCGCAGCTGCAAACAACATCCTACATAATAAAGATAGTTTTAAGTAGAGCCAATGTTTTGTAGTATTGGTTACAGTGAAGTCACAAAAATTAATTTCATAGTTGTTTGTAAACTATAGCTTATTGTCTTAGTTATGTGCTATTACTTGTTCATCAGAGTATAGTTTAAAAAACCCAATAGCATAGGTCTAGTGCAGTGGTGAAATGTAAAATTTGTTACTACCAGTTCTGTGGGCATGGCTTGGTGGTGGTGGGTAATGTGATTGGGTGGGCGTGGCCAACTTTTTTTTTCTTTTAAAAGTATTTTTTCTACAACCTTAAGAGGTTGTAGAAAAAAATGCTTTTAGAAGCCTCTGATGATCCCAGCTGAGCCGTGAGATCATCAGAGGCTTTTTTTTTAACTTTTAAAAGCATTTTTTCGGCCGAAGAGGTTGTAGGAAAAATGCTTTTAAAAGTGTAAAAAAAAAAAAGCCTCTGATGATCTCACGGCTCAGCTGGGCATGGGGGGAGGGGGCAGGGATTTTTGCTACTGGTTCTCCAAACCACCAGCTGCCATCGCTACCAGATTGGGTAATCCAGTCCGAACCGGGAGCATTTCATCCTTGGTCCAGTGATAGAATTATATTTTGCTGTTTGAAAGTTGGAGCAATGCAAGATTGTTAAATTGCCCACTGCAATGCTAGTGATTTTTTAAAGAAGTGTTTTTAAAAAATTGTTGGAATCCAACCATCTCTGGTTTGTGGCACATGTAAACTTAAGTATCTGTTTGCTGGATTTTTAAAAACTTGCAGTATAAGAACTATAGTGTGTTCAATGCCAAATTACGTTTTTCTTTAAACTGTATCAGAATGTTACATAAATTCATATCTTTCTTTTTTATAGCCATCTCAATTCTTTAAAGAATGTGGATACACACATATGCCCTTTATTTATATTAAGGATTTATTGTGATGGCTTGTTTTTCTTATAATTTATTAGAATTTAGAAGTTTCCCTATAAAATTGCTATTTGGAAAAAAGGAACCAAAATGTATATTTCTAATACTATACCTCTTGTATGTATCAGTGACTCTTTCTCTTCTTATTTTTTAATTTATTTTTATACCTCTGTATTATTTTGATAGTTCAGGAACCAAAATGAGAATCCAATTTATTCAAAATACTTTCAAGATTTTACCTGGATGCAGCAAATATTCCTCCATTCAAAGCACCAAAACATGAGAGAGCTACAAGGATTAGAATTGCAGAAGAAATGTTCTTGAAAACTTTATCAGTGAAACTCTAGGAAAAAAATGAGGAATCTTTATTTTTCCCTTCTCTTTATATATTAGTATAACATTTAGAAGAAGAAATTACTCTTTTATTTTATTTTATTTTATTTTATTTTATTTTATTTTATTATTTTATTTTATTTTATTTTATTTTATTTTATTTTATTTTATTTTATTATTTTATTTTATTTTATTTTATTCTTTCTGTAGGTATCTTTCAAGAGAACTAGCAGTAATAAAAGGCAAGACAAATATAGTGCTTATTATTAACTTTTTTAAAAAAAATTGTTAATAGACATCTCCAAATGTATTATTTAATTTATTGATTTTTTAAAAAAATGGTATCATTTATCCATTGCTTCAGTTCTAGTAACTTTAAAGCCTAGTTTACAATCATTCACATAATAATCATGAAATTAATTCAGTATAATGGAAAACAATAGCAAATCATAAATCAAGTATCCATCCAAAATTATTTATGGTCCAAGATCAAATACAATCAAAAGACCAGAACACAATGCAATAATTATAAAAGGAAAATTTTAAATTGCGAGAAAATCCTAAAACAGTTAACAGCTAACAATTGATAGCATGAGGAAAGAACCAGGCATTTTTAAATAGCTATAGATATTGACAAGAATTTGGCAAGGCCTTCGAGATTTCTGAAGATCTCAGGAGAAGGATAAGTGCCCCCTGGTTACAATTATTATCAATTGGAAGTATTAATTTGATCAGCTTTGGGTGTACAATGGATATTTTCATGTATATGTGAAACAATTTCTCCTGTCTGAATCTGAACATAGACTGGGGAGGAGGAATAGTTGTGGGATGGGGAGAGTTTGGCTCTGGCATTTTGGATGTCTAGATCCCAAATCCTCTGTTTTTTATCAAGTCCCAAAGCAGGCAGCGTTGACAAGACCACAACATGCCAAATTGTCAATAATTTGCCTTCTTATATTGGAAGAGAACTTATCAAACAAGATGAATAAACTAAAGGAAGTTCCCCAGTAGACTTGCTTCAACCAAAATATAGGAAAACAAAATCTTAATGGAGCTCCAAGGAAAATGCAGCCTAATTCTAATTGTGTCAGGGGATGGGAAATGGAATAAACTTGCAAGCTTTTCAAGAATTTTGATTGGATTGCTTTTAAATTAGGAGCTTCCTTATAAATACACAACTGAGTACCATATAGCATCAAATCCAGAACTTTAGCTTTAAATAGTTTAATGGGACATAATGGTTACCAAATTGACCTGCATATTTTAATTGCGAGAGACACTTTGGAGCCTTTTACTAGAAGCTCTCTTGTTTGAATAGATCAGTAGGAGAACATTGAAAATAGAGACATAGATATTTAAAGGATTTTTACCTGCTTGAGTTTGTTGTTAATTTAATGGAGCCTTAAAGTGTTTCTTAGAGAATGACTGTACTTTTGTTTTGGAGCAATTAATTTCTAGATGTTTTCCAGAGTAGTAAAGTGGTAGAGATTTAAGGCATTTTCAAAGGCTTTACAGTTAAAATATCAAAGATATACACGTCCATCATTTTGACAACTAAAGAGACAGATGTATTATTACTTTACTTTGAAGAGTATGGGGGAAATCAATTTTCAGATGAATGGACTATTTAGTAGACAAACCGAGACATAAAGAATGTGGCCTTGCAACTTCTATCTCACAACAGTCTATTGTAAGTTTTTATAAGAACATTCCCATTAGAACCCCTGAACCTCAGAATGCAAATTTCTTCACTCAGTTTCAGAAAGTAGCCTGAACTCTATTCATTATTACTTATGAATATGTATTATTTATGCATACAGTGATACAAGCATATGCTTGTATTATTTTCCCCTCCTTTCTGAAATGGATAAATATGACTGCATTTCTTTGTCTGCAGAATGTGTCTTCCACGATTTGGAGGACAGCCTTCCAGGCTGTACATCTAATAAACACAATAGTGAATTTTGGTTTTTGTTTTGTTCTGTTCTGTTCTGTTCTGTTCTGTGTCCTGAGGTTTTTTTTTTTTTTAATTTGATTTATATGCCGCCCTTCTCCGAAGACTCAGGGCGGCTTACAATGTGCTCAGCAATAGCGTTCATCCTTTTGTATATTTATACAAAGTCAGCTTATTGCCCCCACAAACTGGGTCCTCATTTCACTTACCTTAGAAAGGATGGAAGGCTGAGTCAACCTTGAGCCTTGGCGAGATTCGAACCCTGCAGTAATTGCAGGCAGCTGGTCTTAATAACCAGCTTAATAACAGGGTGCCTTAAACCCCTGTACTACCAAGGCTCTGTTTTGATTCCACAAGAAGCATTGTATTCATTAATAATATGAAAACCATTTAATTTTGATTATTTTTAGGTGTACAAAGCATTTTTTACTGAATGCTTTGTGTGCTTGTTTCACAGTCCATGAAACCAGTGTTTACTTTAGGCATTCAATTTGTTATTTTTTGGATTAAACCTGATTTTTTCCCCAGTAGGTCTTCTTGCTCCTGATTTTACTAACAGCACTTAAAGAGTTGCAAATAATGAGCAAAGTACACTCACCACAGCTACTGCATCTGAACTGAGAATTTCTTGCGGTGTCAAGACAGCATAGTAAGATACATTAGTAAGGACGTAACAGACTGTAACAACAATTAAGGAAACGATTACTGCCCGAGGAATGTTCCTGAAAAACAAAAGCTTAATTTTAATACAGTCCAGCAATAATTGTACATTATCTTTTGGCTATGTCTAACATCAGATTAACCAGCCTGTATGCCATGATGGGCTTTCTACATGGTAACCATTATTTAAGCTGTATATAACCAGAATTGTTCCTACAAGCCTACTGCCAACTAGTGCAAAGCACAGAGCAGAGGTGTTACATAGGCACGTTGAGGCCTGCTCAATGTGCCCATTCAATCTGTACTTGCTACAGCTTCCTAGTAGTCTTCAAGGGTATCCCATATAAAGTGTGTTGCAACAGTCCAACCATAAGATGACCGACTTATGAGTTGTGACAATTTTGGTATGGGAATAATTGGTGCATTACATGAATTTGTATAAAAGTGCTCAAAAGCTATAGCTCCTACCTAATGCTTGAGCAGGATCCCCCCTCCCCCAAATTGTACACTAGTTCTGAAAAGGGAAGTGCAAATCCTGTTTAGTACTAAAAATAGAACCACTCCAGATACAGGAGGTCCAAACATCCACGGCCACTCAGACTTGAGCTTAAATGTTCCTCCCATTCCGAACCCACAAATCTTCCATGCATTCGGATAAAACCTTGATAAAATTTCCTGGCTGGCCCTGCAATTAGATTTATAGCTGGGTGTGCTGATGATACTGGATATTGAAAAAGATGACACTCTAGAAAAGAGTGCAGAGAAGAGCAACAAAGATGATTAGGGGACTGGAGCAGTGGTGTGTTGCTCTCGGTTTGCACCGGTTCGCAAGAACTGGTAGTAAAAATTTGTAGTAGTTCCAAGAACTAGTAATAACTGAGAACTGAGATTCAAGGTGCTGGTGATGACCTATAAAGCCCTACATGGCTTAGGCCCAGGATATTTGGCGGACCATCTGCTGCCAGCAACAGCTGCCCATCGCCCGGTGCATTCTCACAGGGAGGGCCTGCTCCGGGTGCCGTCGACTAGACAGTGTTGGCTGGCAACCCCCAGGGGTAGAGCTTTCTCTGTGGGCGCGCCCACCCTCTGGAATCAACTCCCCCTGGGGCTCCGGTTGGCCCCTGACCTTCGCACCTTTCGCCGCGAATTAAAAACAAAGTTGTTTACATCGCCCAGCCTGGACTGAGAGGGTTTTTAGAGTTTGGGGGTTTTAATATAACTTATATATGTACATTATGTATTTTATAATTTTAACTGATTGTTTTATTGTTGTGAGCCACCCTGAGTCTTCGGAGATAGGGCGGCATATAAATTTTATTAATTAATTAATTAATTAATAAATAATAAAATAAATAACATTGGCTGGCCATGCCCCTGAACCGGTCCCTGGCCCAGTCGCCGCTTGCTTACCCCGTCCACCTCATCAGAGGTTTTTTTTAAAAAAAACTTTTAAAAGCATTTTTTCTACAACCTCTTCAGCGGAAAAAATGCTTTTAAAAGTAAAAAAAAAAGCCTCTGATGATCCCGCGGCTCAGCTGGGATCATCAGAGGCTTTTCAAAGCATTTTTTCTACAACCTCTTCAGCTGAAGTGGTGGTTAAAAAATGCTTTGAAAAGTCTCTGCTGAGTTGCCTGATCGGCAGAGGCTTTTCAAAGCATTGTTTTCTGCAACCTCTTAAGGTTGTAGAAAAAATGCTTTTAAAAGTAAAAAAAAAAAAAAAAAAGTTGGCCACGCCCACTCAGTCACATTACCCCCACCAAGCCAAGCCCACAAAATAAACCACGTCCACAGAACCGGTAGTAAAAATATTTAGGACCCACTCCTGGACTGGAGGCTAAAATATGAAGAATGGTTGCAGAAATTGGGTATTTCTAGTTTAATAAAAAGAAGGACTAAGGATGACATGATCGTGTTCCAATATCTAAGGGGCTGCCACAAAGAAGAGGGGGTCAATGTATTTTCCAAAGCAACTGAAGGCAGGATAAGAACCAATGGATGGAAATTTAATCAAGGAGAGAACCAATCTAGAACTAAGGAGAAATCTCCTGACAGAATCAGTGGAACGACTTGCCGCTAGAAGTTGTGGGTGCTCCCAACACTGGAGGTTTTTAAGAAGAGATTTTAAGAGATGAGGAATCATTTGTCTGAAATGGTATAGGCTTTCCTGCTTGAGCAGGGGTTTGGACTAAAAGAAAAAGAAGATCTTTGATGGAAGAAGTTAATAAATGGCACTCTAAGATAGCTCCAGATAGCACTAGCTCTTGGTTGTAGTACTGAACAAAGTTAGCAGGCAAACTTGATAGACTGATTGCAGATTTGAGCAGAAATAGGAACTGTTAGGCATGAGATTTCTTCAATTAAGCCCTAATAACTCTTTTGGGTTCATCCTAGTCCTTTGGTAAAAAGACAAGAAAACCAGATGGACGTGCCAGAGTTGTACTGGACTTGATAGTTCTTTGTCATCCAGCTCCTTGTTCTAAGTTCAGATTTTGTCCTGGGAGTTTGTCTTGTCTGCAGCCCTGACCTCAGAGTAGCAAAGTTTTTCAAAAGAGCCTTGGGAGTAGAACTGTTACAAGTCGCAAGCCAACCCCTCACCCCCCGGTCATGAATGTGCATGACAAGCACTTTTGGATTGGCATGAGATATACATCCACTCCATATTATATATATTTAAATCAGGAGTGGGCTTCAAAAAATTTTAGCAAGGGGCTCTCTGCCTGGTTCCTGGGTGGGTGTGGCCATGGTGGGTGTGGCCTAGTCGGCCTCTTGCATTGTGGTGGGGAGGGCTTTTTGCCTTCTCCAGGCTCTGGAGGCTTTCTTCGAGGCTCCAGGAGGGTAAAAATGGCCTCCCCAGGCTCTGGAGGCTCTCTGGAGGCTGGAAACTGGCCCATTTCCAGCCTTCCCAAACTTCTGGTAGGCCCATTTTTTGCCCTCCCTGACCCTCCGCACGCCCTGCACTTACCTGCATCCAAAACGGGCTGCGTGGCGATGGAGGGGAGGGGAGGGGTGGGAGGGGCCAGCCAGGAGTGGTATTTGGGGGTTCTCCGAACTGCACAGAATCTTACCTAGAGATTCTCTCGAACCCCTGCAAACCCCCAGCAGCCCACCCATGATTTAAATCTAATATATTATATAAAGATATAACATATTTCTGGACTCGAACTACTGCTAACTTTTCAGTTTTACTCATCTACAACATTTCAACTTCATCCCCTGATTTCTCAGTTGTCCGGCAAATTTTTAGCGAAGCGTCTGGGTCTTTTAGTCTTTCTCTCCCCTCTTTAATTGTTTACTTCTCTCCTGGGTTGAGACTGTAGTTTGCATAATCCATAGCTACTGAATTTCCTTGGCAAGGACACCCTCTAGATGTCACATAGGATAACAACAATAAATGCAAAATTGCTGATTATTGCTGCACACTCACTTTTGAGGATTTACAATTTCTTCAGTTACAAAGTTTATATAGAACCTGAAACAAGCAAACAAATAAGAGTCAAGAGTCAAAATGTGCTCTGATCCACTTCAAATAGGTTGTTCTAGTACAGACTTTGCATTTTATCTTAAAGGAGAGGCGTAATTGTTGTCTAATGCCTAACCACATAAACAGCATCAAGCCAATTACAAAAATGCCTTTATAATTTAAAGTCAGTTTCTGTCTTCAGAAATGGAATTCATAGTTCCTTCAGACAGGCTCTGTCAAGTTTAAAAAGGCAGCTCGTAGCTTTAAAAAAAAAAAGTTTGTGATACATTTAGGCAGTTGTGGGATTCAGCCAGTTCACACCACTTCGAGAGAACCAGTTGTCAACTTTCTGAGCAGTTTGGCAAACTGGTTGTTGGAAGAAATCATTAGGGCAGAGAACCGGTTGTTAAATTACTTGAATCCCACCACTGCATTTAGGGAAAAATAGCAGATACGCTGCAATAGAGAACATTAAGGTTATTAATGCATTGCCCAACTACTACTTGAGCTGATATATTGCATGAACTCATAAACCCTAGTATACAAACAATTCTGTTTGCTCATAATATATATATATTTTATAGAGCCTGTAGTACAGTGGACTAAAGCACTGTTATTAACAACTGCTGCTTGCAATTACTGCAAGTTCAAATCCCACCAGGTTCAAGGTTGACTCAGCCTTCCATCCTTTCAAAGATAGGTGAAATGAGGACCCAGATTGTGGGGGCAATAAGCTGACTTTGTATAAATATACAAAAGTATGAAGGCTATTGCTTAACGCACTGTAAGCCGCCCTGAGTCTCCGGAGAAGGGCGACATATAAATTAAAGCAAAATAAATAAATAAAATATGCTAAACTCAAATCCTCAAAATTATCTTTGGCATGTCAACCAGTGGTGGGTTCGTCCCGGTTCCGCCTGGTTCCGCCGACCCAGTAGTGGTGACGATATGATGTCACCAAAACGGTTCTGCCCCCCGTCCCCCGCCCTCCCCCCCACGTTATTCTTACCTTTTATGTTGCAATATTTTTAGGATCAGACTCAATAATAATAATGAGAGTTAGAGGTTTAAATATATTTCTCTTTAATTATAATAGACATTCTATATTCACTGAATATTCACAGATAGAAGCAAAGAAAATGGTGAAGGTGGCTCCTTATATATACAAAGGGTGGAGCCAAGAGTGGGAGTGGTGAATTATGAATACATTAAGAGTCAAAGAATAAGTTAACCCCTGATATCCCATATATACATTATTTACACATTAGGGAATAAGGCATTTACATCTGACATTTTATTTGCCCCCACCCCCAATCTATTGCTGCCTTCTGAGTCCCAGCTGATTGGCTAGAGGGGAAGGGCCGCCCTACAGCTGATCAGAGTTAAAAGAAAACAAATGAGTAGACCGGTGCCTGCAAAAATAAATGGGTAGACCAGTGCCTCCAAAAACAAATGAGTAGACCGATACAGCTCTGCAAGCAGTTAAAAGCCTGGTAGACCAGTACCTCTGCTAAATCCTAAAGAATTGTCACATGACCATCAAGCCACACTCACAAAATAAGCCATGCCCACAGAATCGGTAGTAAAAAAATTTAGAACCCACCCCTGATGTCAACATACATAATTTAAAAATAAAAGCAAACTAATCATATGGCTTAACATGATATTTGCATCCTGCTATGAATTTTATGAAAGTTGATGACATGTAATGATTTCCAAATAGATTTTTTAAAAAAATTAAAAAAATTGAGTTACAACTCTGAGGGTGCATCAATGTCCCTTCTACCATTTACAAAAGGAAAAAGTTAAGAAGTTCATAATTTAGAAACTTACCATCCTCCATAAGCAAACATCCCGGAATAAAAAGCAAGAGGCAGCTTTTCAAGTGTTAAGGAACTTGTGTCAAAACTATTCTGGAAATTTTCATTATGACCTAGTTTAAAAAAAAAAGGGGACATATTTGTCCTCTTTCTTGTAACAAGCAATACAGATAGTCCTCAGTTTATGACTACAATTGAGCTCAGCATTTCTGTTGCTAAGTGAAACATTTGTTAAGTGAATTTTGTCCCATTTTACGACCTTTCATATCCACAGGTATGATTTTAAAAAAAAACCCTGATGATGGTGCAATCAAAGTCCTGCATATTTTTTATTATTGTGTTGCACATAAATAGACGGAGCTTCAGTCTCATCATTGTAGCCATCATCTCGATTTTTTTTTACATCATATCTATGGACAACCCTGCAAGAAATGAAATTGTTGTGCATGACAATATTTCAATCTGCTTGTAGAGTAAATGGAAGACAGAAAGAGAGAGACAGAAAGTATCAACATCAGTGTCTGGCAAGGAAATGAAACAATAGGAGAGATGATGATGATGATGATGATAATGATGATGATGATGATGATGATGATGATGATCTCCTTTATTCATTAAACATGAAACTCGGTCAACTGAACATTTAAAAATGTGTCACAAATACCATTGACTGGTGTTAATGGTTGATACGGGTTGCTGTCAGCGTCCTAGTTATCAACCGTATTATTATTATTATTATTATTATTATTATTATTATTATTATTATTATCGTCATCATCATCATCATCATCATCATCATCATCATCATCATCATCATATTTATTTGCCAACAGACTCAAAACAGGAAACAAGGGGAGAAATAATTTCTGGTGGAATCTCAGAAGCATGTGTGAAGGATCCTTGCCCCATGGGTCCTTCTTTGACAACTTCATTGAGACTAAACGTTGCACAATTCCAGTTCTCTTACTCACAGTCAGCCATGCCTTAGAATACAATAGAGTTGGAAGGGGCCTTGGAGGTCTTCTAGTCCAGCCCCCTGCTCAAGCAGGAGAAGAACTTATACTGTTTCAGATAAGTGGCTGTCTAGTCTCTTCTTAAAAACCCTTAACAGTGACCATGTTAGTAGAGACTAAAAGTGGGAATATAATAATATAGCATTGCAGAATTCTGGGGGTTGTAGAGGTATATTTCTGGAAAAGAACAAGAAAGTTGAGCTAGCCGAAATTATATTAGTTCAATGCATGCATGAATCTTTAAGAACAACAAAAAGACTCTTGGCATTTTGACCAGCGCTGTCAAATTCAAGGCCTGTGGTCTGCATCCGTGCCCATGGGGTGGTTAGATCTGACCCACAGGGACGGACTGGAAACAGCAAAGGACCAGCCTGTGGTGACTCTGCCAGCGAAAACGCCAAGCTCTATTTGGAGGATGTTGCACCCTAAAACAGAGCTCGGGAGCCCATTTTCGCTGGCGGAGAGCTTGGGCCGCTACAGGTGCCCCCAACATGAATGACATCAAGCTAGCCGTGTCCACACTGGCCATGCCCCCCCAGACCCCGCCCCCACGATCAAACACAACCCCGATGCGGCCCTCAATGAAATTGAGTTTGACACACCTGCCTTAGACTAACGAATTAAGTCTGACTTGGATAAAATAGCCCTTCAAATAAAGGATCAAAAAGCAAATATTCAAGTGTTTCTGAGAGTGGCCAGTCCCTAGATCTCTCTTTCCTTTATCTTTCCAATAACCCCTTGTTTTTTTGTTTTGTTTTATTTTTTGTAATTTTGGCATCCTCCATTTCTTCTGATGCTCCCTCTCATCTAATTCCTCATAAGATTTCTGATTAGTCTTACCATTTCCAAGAGCCAAGATCCCAGGAACAATAATTAGACACACGGTGACCATCTTCAGGGCAGTGAGTCCTGTCTGTACTTTGGCAGCCCAGCTCACACTCCAACAGTTCAGGGCTATTGCTAAGGCTGAATTTGGAGAGAGAGAAAAATGAGCAGAGCTTCATAAGCCAATTTAATCATGCTTTCAGTTATGGCTTTCCTCTATCATAATTGCAAAACTAAAGAAAGTGATAACAATCAGTTTGGATAAGAGCATTCTGTAAGCCTGAAAGCAAGCCAGATCCCCTTGCTGCAAGTCACTTACCTTAAAAATTATACAGGTGAGATCTTTTAAACTGTTATATTAAGCTAAGCAATAGGAAAGAATGCATACTGGGTCAACATTATAGAATAAGAAATATGAAATAAAAGAAAATAGTCTAAATGATTAACAAAATAATTAAACATTGATCAAATTGCTTGAAACTCTTCTTTCTTCTTTCATTTTTAAAAAAACACTAATGAAAATACTAGCTAGCTATACATAGCAAAAATATGCTGCTGCATATTGGTTGACTGATGTTTCCAATGTTGTTTAATAGATTTATGCAAAGAGGTGTTTTTGATCTGCCTTGAATAAGCAACTACATTCCAGAGAGTTAACTAACTAACTAACTAACTAACTTTCCTTCCTTCCTTCCTTCCTTCCTTCCTTCCTTCCTTCCTTCCTTCCTTCCTTCCTTCCTTCCTTCCTTCCTTCCTTCCTTCCTTCCTTTCCTCCCTCCCTCCCTCCTTTTTTCACATCACCCACTCACTGAATGATCCATCAAGGTGCTTATATATATGTTGCCTGTTCCACAAATTCTACACCAAATTGAGGGGACTATCTATGCAGTAAAACTTTTATGGGCAAAGCTATCACATTATAGGGTATTATTAGCCTAAGAGTTTTTACATGTTTTTGTAGCATGAATGCAACTATTAGAATTCCTGAGTAAATAAGGATCCAGTATATGCTAAGATTTTAATGGTGTCAAATAGTAGCTTCTAAGCTGAGCACAGGAAGAAGCTGAATTCAAATTACTTTCTTATTCACACATTGCACTAAGCCATGGTTTGTTTCAATCATGGATTAATGAATAATTTTCTGTCTAACTTTTCTTTGGAGGAGGAAATATCAATTTAGGATTATCTTGGTGAGGGATGACTAGTCACTGGAGAAGACAGTGTATTGAACTGATTGTTGTTACCAATCCAGCTTTTCCAATAATTTTCACTGTTTGCATTTGACTATATCCAACTGATTGGCACTTACAAAGATAATTCACAAAAGGCAGAAGCTTACACGAACATTCAAAATGTTCTGATGGAGTGCACAAAAATTAAACACTGTTCAGGATGAAACTTTAAACTGATTCGATAGGAAAACTAATTAAACAACTGAACAGATATTAAGGTGGAATGTGGCAAGTTAGCTAATATGATCCAACAGATGTCGGTAGATATGTTGCTAATAAATTCAGTGAAAATAATTTTCTTCTCAAGTTTCAGAAGTTGCCCAGACTTCTGTTGTCTCTACAAAAAATTGTTTGATACTGGAAGAGTTCAAAAAGATATAACAGACGTTAAACTGATACCCAGGATCAGAATAAAAGGAATGATTTTGCAATTAGAGAACATGTAGAAAAGACTGATTAACTGTATATTTTATCTGCAAATATCTGGCCATGTTACAAAGAAGAAAAGCTTTCAAATCTTTCACAGAAGAACTATAAAAAAGTGGAATAAGGTATAAATGGAGGTTCCTTTCAAGCTAGCTTTATTTCAACCACAAGAAAGAACGATTGTTTCTATGCTTCTAGAGATGAATAGAATTGTAACAAGACTATTTTATAAAGAATGTATGAAGAATTAACAGAGATGATGCTTAAAGAACTGATATATCTTTTAAAGAAAAAGATAGCGTAAAAAAGTTTTTCTGGCATTAGGGACTTACAGGATGGCTGGTAGTTATAAAACGTTCAGTATTGTTTCATAAGACTGGAAATAGGAAAGAAAGAAATAAGATAAAATACAAAGAATGGAAAAGAATTATATAGAAGTTAATATCAGGTAGGGGAAATTAGAGCTCAGCATAGCTCTCCTCTAATCTAGAACAATTAGAGGATTTAATTAACTCTCTGGATTTAATTAACTCAGAGGATTTAATTGAACCTCTGTTCATATGGGTCTAGTTGGGTTGGGAGGTTGAGAGGTGGGGGATAAATGGAGAAGGGAACTGAGGGAGAGTTTGAAAAGGGCTTTGGGGAAGCAAGAAAAAAAAGATAGTAAAAATGATGTTGAAGATTTCACAAAACACAACAGTGATTGGTCTCATTCAAGACAACGATGAATCTGCATACAGACGGGAGGTTGAACAACTAGCCTTGTGGTGCAACCAGGACAATCTTGAACTAAATACACTCAAAACCGTAGAAATGGTGGTTGATTTTAGAAGAAAACTTCTTATACTACCACCTCTTACAATACTAGACAACACAATATCAACAGTGGAGTCCTTAAGGTTTCTAGGTTCTATCATATCTCAAGACTTAAAATGGACACCTAACATCAAAAACGTCATCAAAAAAGCTCAACAAAGAATGTTCTTTCTGCACCAACTCAGAAAGCTCACACTGCCTAAAGAGCTGCTGTTCTACAGAGTTCTACAGAGGAATTACTGAGTCTGTCATCTTCATCTCCATAACTGTCTGGTTTGGCTCTGCAACCAAACAAGACAAACACAGACTTCAACGGATAATTAGAACTGCAGAAAAAACAATTGCCATCAACCTGCCTTCCATTGAGGATCTGTTTATTGCACAAGTCAAAAAGAGGGCTGTGAAAATATCTACAGACCCCTCACATCCTGGACAAAAATTGTTTCAACTTCTATCCTCAAAAAGACACTATAGGGCACTGCACACCAGAATAACTAGACACAAGGACAGTTTTTTCCCAAATGCCATCACTCTGCTTAACAACTAATTTTCACAACACTGTCAATAATTTACGAAGACTGCATTACTATTATTCTTCTCTTCCTTACTAGTATCTATCTCTTCCCACTTATTACTATAACCATTTTGCTTGTATCTTTCAATTTATATTGTTTTTATTTGTTTCTTAGTACGATTTAATAGTTTATTAGTAACCTTGACTATCACTAAGTGTTGTATCTTTTTATTTTTGATGAATATATTTTATACTCCTTATGTACACTGAAAGCATATACATCAAAGACAAATTCCTTGTGTGTCCAATCATATTTGGCCAATAAAGAATTATATTCTGTTTATTCTAATTCTATTCTATTCTATTCTATTCTATTCTATTCTATTCTATTCTATTCTATTCTATTCTATTTAACTAGCAATAGCATTTAGATTTATTTACCACCCCATAGAGCTTTACAGCACTCTCTGGGAGGTTTGCTAAATCAGCATATTACCCCCAACAATCTGAGGCCTCATTTTACCTTGAAAGGATGGAAGGCTGAGTCAATTTGAGCCCCGTCAGGATCAAACTCCAGATTGTGGGCACAGTTAGCCTGCAATACTGCATTCTAACCACTGCACCACCAGGGCTCATATAATCATAAAAATGTTGGCTTATAAATTAAATAGGGTTCTGATATTGGGGCTGAACAAAAAGTAATTGCATCCTTGAATAAATTAGCTGGGTGAATTTGGTTCTAATGTGTTATTAAATATACCCGGTTATGTGTGTGGATGGAATGAGTTTATGAAAATCATATGACAATTCTGAATATTTGAGAGATTGCACAGTTTGAAGCATCTGCATGAACTTATTGATATCTGGGAAAATGATAGATATTTCTATTAACAAAGGGATTTATATTTCTTTTTATTTATTATATTTAGAGGCTGCCTGATTTCAGAGTGATAATAGGCAGCTTGTACTTTAAAAGAGAAGAAAACAATAAAAAAAAAAAATATGAACATCTGGACAAACCACAACCCTTCCCCCAACAACTAGGGTTGAGAAAAATCCTGAGGACTGAGAAAAATTACCGAGTTCACAAATCAGGCTAAATGATATCTGGTTGAACAAACCACTATTGGTTGAATACAGATAAAACATGAAGGAGAAAACCTGGTTTACAAATTGCCAAAGCCTGTTTTTACCAAAACCAAACAAACCATATCATGTTTGATATGTCTGGTATGCTATATTGTTTATCATGTGTGTTAACCCATAGATTATAAATAAATGAGCTAAGTTTGTACTAATCATTGCTACAGCATTTTCACTCTGCTGTACCCTGATTACATGTTAGAAATAGAAAAGTGGGACATCAACTTAACAAGTTTTGGATTCTGTGTTCATCAACTATTCCTGTACATCAACTATTCCTGTTAAATCTAGCTTCATAGATTTGATCAGAATCATTCTGCAGTAGGTAGCTATTAAATCTTCCAGTTGTTTATCTTACTTCAGAGCAAAGATACTTACAAAAAAAAAAAAACATTGATACTAAAGACTGGGTAGTAAATACTCATTTATTGATAATAAACTATAAGTACTTTGATCTTGCATTCACTGATACTCACTAATTCCTGCCATTGTGACCAATTTCACAGCCAGAGGAGGGACATGGCAAGAAGCAAAGAAAGGCTCAATGAGGTATCGACCAAATGCCAGAGACACCACAGCTATATTTGCAGGGCTAGGAATATAAAAATTAGAAATGACAGAATATCAGATACAAATATTTCACTTTTTTGTTGGCTTCTCTCATCTTTGCTTCTGTTGAGGGCTTGTGGATTTTCACTTGTGAAAAACCCGCAAGTGAAATGAAGTGAAAATAGTGTCTCCTTTCAGAAATATTCATCTGGAAGACTGGGTAGAACATGAGGAGAACTCAAGTCTTTCTCATCCTTTCTCCTCTATGAGGAGAATGAGACAATGAGAAATGTCTACTTCTAATGTGTGGCAGACCAAAGTTTATCATTTAATCAAAATGGTGGACTTGGTCCACACCTTACTCCAAGTCATGGCTTGGTTCAGTTACAGTGGAATAAGCCACTTCTGGTTTTAGTCATTTTTTGTTGTTCATAATATTTAAATTAAAAATACTATATCATTTAATGTTTAAATATTGCTTTTGTAGTTTATATTGTGAATTCTATAAGATACCTAGAGCCTAGCAGGTTTCAGTCAGTAGATAAATCACATAACTAAATGCAAAGTCCAAGTCATTAGCTTCAGCCAACATGCTAAATTATCAGTACAATGTTACAAATCATAACAGACTAATAATGTTAACATATTAATAATAGTTTTTTTTACAATGTGTGCTATCCTCTTCACATTCTTCTGGCTTATGATCTTTACGATAACATAATAACAAAAAGAAAAGGAGCACGATTGTCCATAGTACAGTATATGGTCAAAAGAGTCAAGATGATTGTGGGATTATAGCTCCATCCATTTTTATATATGTTACATAGAAAAAAAGCTAAAGTTTTGATGCAACACCACAATCGCCATCTTTTTTTAAGGAGTGGATCTACTCTATAGATGACTTGTCATCCACCAGCTGCTGGAATCTCTTTCAAGTCTGTAAGCTCCCAGATGTTCCCAGAAGACAGTTCAGTTGATCGAGGAGTGATCTGGCTTGGAGGGGGAGGACAATGTCATTCAATCAATCCCAAATTGATTTTTTCAGAGCCAGAGAAGCAGATCTTTAGTTTATTGCAAGCAGGGCAGCGGTATCTGCCCTGTAAGAAATGAAGAAAACCATCCATCTTATGACTGAAACGGAGAGGTCTCTTCGGTTTGTGATTGTTTTTGATCTGGAGTCTCCCTAGAGCTTTCTCTATTATTGCTTCCATTCTTCCTTTTCCCCCACTGTTCCTTGTCATTCTCAGATGCTTCCCCCCCTCCTCCTTCCAAACATTTGTTAGATCTCAGTGGTGCTCCATTCACCAGCTGTCTGCCTTTAAAAACACAGCTGGAACATGCCCCATTGAGAGGTTTAAAGAGACAAAGCTCCCAATAAATCTTCCCATCATCTGGCGTTCCTTCCTTTTTAGACAAGGAAGGGAAAGAAAAGCCGTCCTTACCGTATCATAATAAATTCAGCCCACAATCGGAGGAAAGCCGGCAATGGTCCTAGAGTCTCTAAAAGATAAATATAATGCCCGCCTGACTTCGTAATACATGTTCCGAGATCTGCATAGGACAGAGCACCTGGAATTCAACCAAAAAAAAAAAAAGAGTTGTAAGTCATATCCATTGTCCTGGGACAAGAGCCTTGATAGTACAGTGGTTTAGTGCACCCTGTTATTAACACAGCTGCCTGCAATTTCTGCTGGTTCAAATCTCTCCAAGGCTCAAGGTTGACTCAGCCTTCCATCCTTTCTAAGATAGGTGAAATGAGGACCCAGTTTGTGGGGGCAATAAGCTGACTTTGTATAAAATATACAAAAGAATGAAGGCTATTGCTTAACGCATTGTAAGCTGCCCTGAGTCTCCGGAGAAGGGCGGCATATAAATCAAATTAAAAAAAAAAAAAAAAAAAGCTCCACTGAACTCAATAAGTCTTTCTCCACAGGTAATGTGGACATTTGGGGCCATAATGAGCCGTATTTGGTCCTCCTAACACTTAACTTGTTCACCACTGCCACATTTTAAACTTGTATTGAAACTATTAGTACCTGTAATGTTTAACGTAACACAGAGTGATATAAAACAACTGGGAAGTAATCCTTAATCATTTGTTGAATTTCAAAGTAAATGAAATCCAATTCAGAGGGTATTTTGGCCCTGAGATAATCCCTCGGTTTTTATTTTATTTATTTGGTGGTTTAGAATTTATCAGCATCCCAGTTTGGGAAATGATTCACCCGTAAACTATTAAAAGAGCAAAAGTGACCCTTGGACCAGAAAAGATTGGACAGTAATTTTCACCCAAGTGAATAAGTAAGCGAACACAATGAGATGAAATTGATTTCTGGAAAGATGCAGTAATTATCACTGTGAATATATTTCCCCCCTCTCCCCAAAGAGTTGGAGGCACCTCAAATGGTGCAAACATTTATCTCTGCATCAACAACTATGAAATAGTTTGAATCAAATCAAAATGAATGACACAAGATTGCTCGGGAGGGAGGGGGCTTTTTACCTGGAGATCTTCAGCTCAGTCATTTTATTTAAAATAGTTTTCTAGTCTCTTTTGCTATTTGTTCCCTAGCCACTCCAAAGCTTAAACCCGTGATGGCGAACCTATGGCACGCATGCCACAGGTGGCATGCGGAGCCATATTGGTGGGCATGCAAGCTCAGCTCCGGCACGCATGCACATGCCAGCCAGCTGATTTTCGGGCCTTCCGGACCCACCGAAAGTAGATAAACAAGCTGTTTCCTGCCTCTGGAGGACCTGTGGGGAAGGCCGTTTTTGCCCTCCCCAGGCTCCTAGAAAGGCTCTGGAGCCTGGGGAGAGCAAAAAACAGGCCTACCGGGCCCACCATACCATTGCGTGCCAAAAGCGGGGGGAGGGCGGGTGGTGGGTGGGTGGTGGTGGTTGCGCGTGCATGCACAGGGGGCGGGGCGTATAGAATTATGGGTATGGGCACACACGTGCGTGACCCCACCCCACACTCCCCCCGCTTTTGGCACGCGATGGCAAAAAGGTTAGCTATCACTGGCTTAAACCATCATAAAAAAGAATATGGTACATGATGACAAAATAGATATTAAAAAGGATTCAAAATGTGTTCTAATATAAAAGGGTATCTCCTATTCTTTCATCCATGTTCTGCATCCTATTTAGACAGAAAATACCTTGCTGGAAGGCTGTAAGTAGATTCCAAGGTATATTTTTGTAGCTGCCAGAACTGAAAGATTTGGGCAGGGCATGGTGTACGAGGAGACCTGTATTAGAGAGTCCACATGCTTTACAGGTAGCCCTTGACTTACAACCATTTGTTTAGTGGCTATTCAAAGATATAATGGCACTGAAAAAAGTGACTCATGACTGTTTTTCACACTTATGGCTGTTGCGGCATCTGCATTGTCATGTGATCAAAATTCAAATACTTGGCAACTGGTTCATACTTATGACAGTTTCAGTGTCTCAGAGTCATATGATCACCTATTAAGGACCTTCTGACAAGCAAAGTCAATGGGGAAGCCAGATTCACTTAACAACGGTGTTACTAACTTAACAACGGCAGTGATTCAGTTAACAGCTGTGGAGAGAAAGGTCATAAAATGGGGGTGGGGGGTGGAGAAACTCACTTAACAACTGTCTTGTTTGGAAACAGAAATGTTGGGCTCAAGGACTACCCTTTCAGCTACTTGTGAAAATGTTATACAGTACTCTCTAGCATTGTTATGCCAGGTGCACTGTGTGCAATTTTAGAAGGCTACACCAAACTGCCAGTCTGACTTACTAACAGGTGTATAGGCTGGCTATCTGCTTTACTTTTCACAGGATAAGTTTCTATTGGAACATGTCCTTTTATTTGAAGGGATACCTAGCAATGTGTGATTTTTTTAAAAAGAAGAAGAACCACACAAATGGAGATCAGCGGCCTGGTCAGAGATAGAATTCAGCCGGTTCAGACCAGTTCGGGCGAACCGGTAATGCCGATGATCAGTAGACCCTGCCCACCTGCCCCCGCTCTATCCTGTCCTTTATTTCCTGCTTTGTAGCTCATCTCAATCACGCAGCACAGCTGATTGCCCCCCCTCCCCGCTGTTCTACTTACCGTTGCTGACCTGGAAGGTAAGCAGCTGAGCTTCTAAATGCTCCATTTTCAGCGCTGGGTGCAACCGCCTTAGGCACGTGCGAATGCAAAGCGCATGTGTGCGCGCAAAACACGCACTCACCAAACCGGTTGTTAAACGAGCAGCATTCCATCACTGAGCCACATATTCCACGTCAGCTCAAATATTAGATTCTCCCTCTTCCCATTTCATTTTTTTAAGGAATTTATCATCTATCATCTCTACCTATAATTACCTATCATTATCTATCTCTATCTATCATCTCTATCTATTTCTCTCTCCTATCTATCTATCTATCTATCTATCTATCTATCTATCTATCTATCCATCTATCTATTTATTTATCTATTATCTCTACCGATCATTATCTACCTCTATTTCTCTCTCTGTCTCTTTCTCTTTCTCTCTCTCTCTCCTCTCTCTCTCTCTCATCTATCTCTCATCTATATCTATCATCCAGTATTGAGTTTCACTTACCATTGCTACCGGTTCGGAACTGTGAGCATGTGCGTGCGTGTGTGTGCTTCGCTCGCTCGTGGCACTTCTGTGCATGCGCAGAACCTTCTGTGCATGCACAGAGTGTCCATGATGATGGCTGAGCGGAGCTTCCCGCTGCTGCTGCTACCAATTCGCCTGAACCGAGGTGAACCAGTAGAAACCCACCACTGCTATCATCTATATCTATCATATCATATCTATCTATCTATCTATCTATCTATCTATCTATCTATCTATTATCTATCATCATCTCATCTCTCTCTCACACACACATCTATGTCCCTCATCTATCATCTAGCTACCTTTTAATATTTTGAGTTTCTCAGGATGTAAAAATCAACATTTTTTTAAAAAAAAAAGAAAGCTACACAACTCACCAAACAGAGAAAGAATCCCACAAGCGAGCCATACAAGTAAGGAGACCCCTACATTGCCTGAGTTTTGCAATACCCCTTTAGGAGAAATGAAGATCCCACTGCCCACCATGGTGCCTACACCCAACGCAATGGCCCGAGTAAGGGTGATCTTCCTCCTCAGAAAAACAGCCTCCTTCTCCTCCATGAAAGCTTTTCTCTTCCTGCAGAGTCCCATATTTTCACCTCTCTGTTTTCTCCAAGCACCACTTGGGTTACTGATTGTCTGGCAATTCTGACTCTGTGCTGTCAATCCCTCTTTCTCTTCGTTTCTCTTTACTTAGCTAAGAGCACAGTTTGGCTGGGAATTCTGTGGAATAATGGGAGCATGAAGTAAACAAATATTTAAAGAAAAGTATCATGTGGGATAGGAAGTAGAGGCCAAAATCCTAAGGAACAATGTATGCTGGTGCTTTCACTGCAGCGGCTGATAAACACGTGCATGTCCTAATTCTCAATTTTGCATCCAAAGAATTTCGTTTGGGTAGTTATGTACTCTCCTTGGCTTCATTTACAGTATGTACAAGGCCAAACTCCCAGACAGGGTATTGACCCGAAGTTTTATTGATAATGGGCATATTTCCAAGAAACTTCAGTCAGATTACAAAATAATTCCATACCTTAATTTAAACAGGATGGTAGGCAGTTTTTAAAAATGGTCACAGAGGTTTATCTTTAATAAGATGTGCCCAGTTCGTTTTGAGGATAAGCCATATGAACATTAGGAATAGGGGGGAAATGTTATCCATATAGATAATCCTCAGTTTACAACTTCAGTTTATTTAGTGACCATTCAAAATTACATTGGCACTGAAAAAAGTGACTTATGAGGTTTTTCACACTTACGACCATTTCAGCCTCCTCATGGTCATGTGATCAAAATTCAGATGCTTGGCCAACTGACTCATATTTATGACGGTTGCTGTGTCCTGGGGTCATGTGAGCACTTTTTGTGACCTTCTGACAAGTAAAGTCGATGGAGAAGCCAGATTCATTTAACAACCGGGTTACTCTTTCATCAACTGCAGTGATTCGCTTAACAAGCGTGGTAAGAAAAATCGTAAAATGGGGCAAAACTCACTTAACAAATGTCTCACTTAACCACAGAAATTTTGGGCTCAATTGTGGTCATAAGTTGAGGACTACCTGTATTCTTAAAAATAAAAACAACACGATAACTGAATTGTTAAATCTCATTTCTACTGAAATTTAGTTTCTGAACTACTCTTTCGTGAATTTTGGGACTACTGTGTTTTCCTGAAAATAAGACCGGATCTTATATTAATTTTTGCTCCAAAAGATGCATTAGGTCTTATTTTCTGGTTAGGTCTTATTTTGGGGGAAATATGGTACTAAATGCATCCATCTGGCTGACAGTCTTAACTGGGGCTTATTTTGAGGGTAGGGCTTATAGTACAAGCATCCTGAAAAAATCATGCTAGGATCTATTTTCCGGTTGGGTGTTATTTTCGGGAAACAGGGTAGCTGTACTTTGCAAATGTACAAAAATGCAATTCTTTTTAAGTGCATGTGCAAATACATATTTAGGAAATTCTTTTCACACATCAGAAGGTAAGAAATTATCAAATGATGCCACAATGTACTTGTCAGCCTTGTACTCATGAACAAAAATGGCTGGTGCCGTCGCTGGCTATTGGGGGCGAGTCATTGGCCCCCATGGAGAGGGCTCACAACTTGGGTGTCCTCCTGGATGCGCGGCTGTCTTTAGAAGAGCATATGACGGCCGTGGCCAGGGGGGCTTATTATCAGGTTCGCCTGATCCACCAGTTGCGTCCCTTTCTGGATCGGGACTCCCTGCGCACGGTCACTCATGCCCTCGTCACTTCCCGACTGGACTACTGCAATGCTCTCTACATGGGGCTCCCTTTGAAGAGCATCCGGAGGCTCCAGCTGGTCCATAATGTGGCTGCGCGGTTGATTATGGGAGCGGTGGGGCGCTCCCATGTAACCCCTCTCCTGCGCAAGCTGCATTGGCTCCCAGTGGTCTTCCGGGTGCAATTCAAGGTGTTGATTAACATCTTTAAAGTGCTCCATGACTTAGGACCTGGGTACTTATGGGACTGCCTTCTGCTACCAACAGCCTCCAACCGGCCAGTACGCTCCCACAGGGCAGGGCTCCTCGGGGTGCCGTCGGTCAGACAATGTCAACTGGCCACCCCCCGGGGGAGAGCCTTCTCAGTGGGGGATCCTGCCCTCTGGAACGAGCTGCCCCCAGAGGTACGGAGGATCCCGGACTTGCGCACCTTCTGCCGTGCCCTGAAGACTTTGTTATTCCAGCAAGCCGGGACGGTTTTAAATTTTAAATTGGATTTTAATGGGATGTTTTTAATTGTGGGCCAAAGTATTTAATCTGGTTTTAAATTGTTTTTAATTTTCATATTTGTGCATTTGATCATGGCTGTTCACCGCCCTGAGTCCTTCGGGAGAAGGGCGGTATATAAATATAATTAATAAAATAAAATAAATAAATAAAAATAACACAGTTAATCCTGTGCATGTGTCCATAATACGATTTCTGTTTATTATTACATTCTTCATTTCTTGTTTTTTATCGACACAATAAAAACACTGAGTGGTTTGCAAGGCATCCTTACCTGTTCAAGATGATACCAGGCATAACTGGACATGGGAATAAAAAAGTATTAAAAAAAAACATTTATCTTGAATTCCTGGGATTTTGCAAAGCTGACCTATCCTGTTATTTCAAATAACAGAAGAAAGAAGAACAGATTTCTTGGTTGGTGCTATGGAGATTGTATTATTTCCACATCATGCAACACAACAGCTTGTATCTTAATAAAGTAATGAAAAGAATGTAATATTTATTAAACCCAACCACCCCCAGTGCTTTCCTGTGACAATCAATACTTCCATCTGTGGATCATCCAAGCTTCATGCCTACCTTTCAGGCTCTACTATTTACATCACGTTCTGTTTTATTTATTCTCTGAGTATCTTCCGTTAATGATATCAGTATGTTCACAAACAACAGAGATGGAGAAGTCTCAAAGTCCAGAAGGAGGAAAAGAAATTTCAAAATAAATACAGGAATCAGACAAATTACTTGGAATCCAAGTGTAGCGGCCAAGTGAAATAGGTCATGGCATGGGTTTTTCAGAAAAAGCTTAATCTTCCAAATTAAATTTTCTTCTAAACAAATTCAGCTTTTTTGGGGTGTTTAAAGTGCAAGACTTGTTCCAAAAACCGAGGAACACAACTTTACCGGAAGTATCTAGATGGCCTACTATTCGTTCATTTGCACTGATCTTTTTAAAATTGTTGCTATTAAGAAGGCAGGGAATGTCGGTCATCAATTTTTTTTGTTTGTGTTGTTGCCTTCATTTTGGTTGAATAAGTTGGCTAGCTAGCTCTGAGATTAGAGAGAGAACTTTGAGGTTAGAGAGGAAAATCTAATTAATTTTTCATTTCGTTTTCCTACCACTATCTAAGAACAGTTTTCCTGACAGTGGATAAAACAAACAACAAAACAAAGCAAAATGAAAAAACTAGAGGATGTATACTACCATTCAATTCAATTCAATTCAATTCAATTCAATTCAATTCAATCTCTCTCTCTCTCCCCCCCTCCCCCTCCCCCTCCCTCTCCTTCCCTCTCCCTCCCTTTCCCTCTCCCTCTCACCCTCCCTCCCTCCTTTGAAGGCACAAATATATAAAAGGAAAAACACTATTATATTCTTAGGCATTTACACACTATATTATCTAATACAGATTCAAAGTATTCTTTGCCTCCCACTCAACTGAATGTTGATGTAAGTAGAATGAATCTGTTTCCATATTCTACTTATTTTATGAAATTATGATACTTTCCTCTCAGAATGAGCAGTCAAAATCTAAGATACCCCCCAATCAAACATAAAGTTAAAACAATCATTCCTTAAAAATCACTCCTTTCCAAAGCAGCCAATCAATTCCTCCCAGCATAACACATCCAAACCTAATCAACAAAGACTATATTTAGTCACCATCAGACTTAAATATGAAATGCCAGCTTCAAAAGAAATATCTTCAAGGCCTTCCATAAAGTCAACAACTAGGGGACAATGGATTTTTTTTTGGAGGGCCCATGTTCCACAAAACTGGAATAATCTTAGAGAATATGTGTCATCTATTGTCACATTCTCCATTCACAAGGAGCTCTTTTCTGTGGTGGGCCTACAACTCAATATCTGTCTAAGTTGGATCTTTTACTATTTTTTTTTAAACTGATGTTTAAAAATGCTTCAAAAAGATATTGATATAAAATGACGAAATTGGCAACATTCAGAGAAAATGCTACACAGGTGGTATCTAGCGCCAGCTAGATTAGCGAAAATGTTTCCCAATCTCTCAGCCATGTGTTGGAAATGTGGAAAAGCGGTCGGTACCTTCTATCATTTATGGTGGACCTGTCCAGAGACCAAAAGGTTCTGGTCCAAAATTCGATATTGGCTATGTGAAATAACGGGACAGGAGATAGTTTTATCTGCAGAAATCTTCCTTCTGGGTTTAATCGGAGATGGCCTTAACAACAACAAAACTCAACTCATAATCCAGATAACAACAGCGGCTAGACTAGCTTTTGCGAAATACTGGAAAAATAAAATCATACCATCAGAAGAAATATTAATAAATAAAATCCTAGAGTGCGCAGAAATGGCAAAACTGACGAGTGAGATAAATAATGAGGAGAAATCTAAATATTATGAAGTATGGGGAAACTGGTACAATTGGTTGAAAAACAAGACAAAAACATGATTTTAGGATATGATTTGTTTTGCACTTGAAGTACGAGCTATATTACATAGAATATTGAACAGCTAAGGATGAAGTTTATTTGATGTATGATTTCGTAAAATGTATAAACACTGTGCCTCTGAAGGAGGTAGAGATTGTATATTTTTTCTTTTATAACGGAAAAATTCAATAAAGTATATTTAAAAAAAAAAGATATTGAAAAGACTTGAATTCATCCTTATTTCCAAAGATCGGGAAAGCAGGAACATTTTTACTCAGTGTCAATAAGAGTCCAGCTTAGGGTTGCCAGGTCTGCTTCCAAAAAATAGCGGACAAGCGCAGGGGTGGTGGTGGGATTAAGTAGTAAAAAAAAACAAAACAATTAAATTATATATTTTCTTACAAACATTTTAACACGTATTAAAATAATCACTTCAAAACTTTACTTAAAATTCAAAACATCAAATATAATTACAAAAATA